TCAATGGCTTGCCTGTTTATATTACATTTTATTTAGTTGGAATCTCCACAAGAAATCCTATTTGCATTATTGAGAGTCTATTGTTTTCTGGAAATCTAGATGTTTGCTTTGWGTAAAGCCAAAAAGAAAATAAATCTATCTGAGAATAAATAAAACTTGACCATGTAGATCAACTAAAGATACAAATGGATCCTGATTCAGATCTCTTTGTATCAGAAGGACTGGAATTATTCTTACAGATTAGAAATTTGAGAATAAATTCATGGTGTGAATCAGACCTCACATTAAGATTGAATGGATTGGGGCTGGGGATGTGGTTCAAGCGGTAGCACGCTCGCCTGGCATGCTCAGGGCGCTGGGTTCGATCCTCAGCACCACATAAAAATAAAAAATAATGATGTTGTGTCCACCAAAAACTAAATATTAAAAAAATTCTCTCTCTCTTAAAAAGAAAAAAGATTGAATGGATTTAGATAGAGGAATAGTCACAGAGAGCATTTCAGATAAGAGTAGGATCTGAGTAAATATCCAGGATTGAAATCTAGTACATCAAGTACTAGAGGAGTGATGAGGAGTTCCCAGAGATGAGTTCAGAAAGAAGAACTGGAGAAAACAAAGTAATAGGTGATGGCAAACCCCATCTATGGAGTCCTTGGAATCCAAGATAAAGAACAGAGAATTTGATTATAGGATAATAAGCAATCAGCAACACTTGTATTGTGAAAAAGCATATCCACAGTAGAGAAAGGATGGAGACGGGAGACCAATAAAAATGGCATCGTTGATGGTAATGGTTTCAGAGTACAGAAAATGTGTGTGTGTGTTTGTGTGTGTGCTTTTTTTTCATTTTGACAATATTTTAGATAAATTTTTAGTTTCTTTCTGGTTATATTATGTTCCATAAGTGAAACTAAAGAAATACAATATCAGACAATTTATCTATGGGGATTTAGTCAGATTCATTGTAGGAAGTAAAATAAAGGAATTCAATAGAAGTTGATCACATCACTTTTGCTTGTTTTCCATAAATCCAAATCTCTCTTCAAATCTCCATTAAACCTCCACTTCAAGTGATTAAAATGAATCTTTTACCTCAATCCATTGTAGTATTCAAGTAAACAACATTTGAGAGAGAGGGAGAGAGGGAGAGAAGGAGAGAGGTGGGGAGACGGGGTTGGAGGGAGGGGTGGAGAGAGAAAAAAATCAAGTGTTTGAAAAACGAAGATGATTCATAAGCCAATTTTAGTGATGGCAATTTGATTTAATCTCATATTCTCAAAATTCATACTCCCTTAACTTATTTATTTGATTTACTGGTATTAGGGGAACTGTGCCTCTTGGATTAGGAATCTCTGTAAGGTTACCCTGGTGTCAGTGCCAAGGAAATCCCCTTAGAATCAATGGACAACTTTAACTTGGCTCTGAGATTAACATCATTATTGTCACTGACCTTTGAGAAGAGAAGTTATTCTGCATTTTCATAATTATTCCCCAATGTTTTAAACACCAAAGATTTTGTTCATGATTTTCCTAATTGCAATATATATATTCAATGAGCTTGAATAGAATATTTCAATAAACTCAGAATAGGAGGATGGATTTCTAACTTATTTATATTATAAATGAGGAGAAATACACATTTCTGTAAAACTCTTCAGTATTTTTTAATTGTTTTCAGGTTTTGTCCATTTTATTATCTATTTATCTTTCCTTCTCTTTGAATTGAAGAYCTATGGAAAGAAATAATGAAACTCAGTAAAGGATCATTTTGTCAACTCTGAGTTCAAAGGTATCATAGTTTAATCAGCAAATACACAGGCAAGTATGCCAGCAACTCTGTAAAATAATTCTGGGCTATATACTAAATATGATTCATAATTCAGCTGAATGATTGTATTTTTCATTGGTGAAAAAAATGCATTTTCACTTACATTTTTTAATTTATTTTTTAGTTGTAGTTGGACACAATACCTTTACTTTATTTATTTTTATGTGGTGCTGTGGATCAAACCCAGGCCTGGCACATGCTTGGCAAACACCAATCTGCTGAGCCACAACCCTAGCCCCTTCATTTGCATTTTGATAAAATGTCTTCTAAATAAAAATGTAATTGATTGAAATATAAACCCKTTTTTGAATTCCACATAATCATTTTCAGTTGATTTACCATTAGGTGTTACTAAAATATTAATTAAAAGCAGCATTTTTATAATTTTATAAATAATTTTTAAAATATTTAATTCTGAGTAATATTTTAAAAGTGTTTATATGCCTAAGAAATAATGTAGAATTAATTTTATTTGTTTGATTATAAGCCATTACTAATAAAACTTTAAAAAAAAACTTCACCATATTGTGTGAGTAAATAGAAAAAACAGCACATAAAATTCAGCATAGAAAATAATAAGAAACAGCGAAATATTAGTCAAAATGTGTTTTGTGAACACCATACTTTAATAACTATTGTAGGATCTCTCCAAAAATGTCTATCTGAAGGATGCTAAATCTAAAGACAGCAATTTCTGGAAGAAAGATGATCATGACATTTCTTTAAAACATGAATGCTTCTGTACTTCTTGAAACACTGTAATATTATAGTCAGCAAACTATAAAATAAAAATATAATAAATTTGGATGATCCTTAACATAAATGTGTGGCAGATCAGGAGTAAATAAATGAGTTTGCAAGTGTCATTAAACATGAAATATTCATGGGATGCAATGAAAATGAAGGCTTTAGTTTCTAGAGATGTTTGAAATGATGCAAGTCAGGTATATAACATGAAGAATACTATGCACACTTTGGAGACTTTTTCAACAAGTCTCATAATGTTAAATATGCATATCGAACACTTTAAAACTAGAGAGAGAAAGCTTTAGGACAAATTGATAAGTAAGAGTAATAACTCCTTCAGAAATCTGTCCTCCAAGATAGGAACAAGATTTTAAATATGTTATAATGAATAAAAAATGATTTTTAACTCACATTTTATATTTTTTCCCTGTGAAAAATTAAATAGATTTGCTGGGCATGGTGGTATATGCTTGTAATCCCAGTGGTTTCAGTGGCTGAGGGAGGAATATTGCAAGTTTGAACCTAGCCTCAGCTACTAAGTGAGGCCCTAAGCAACTTAGCAAGACCTTGTCTCAAAAACAAAATACAAAACGGGCTGTTATATGGCTCAGTGGTTAGGCATCCCTAGGTTCAATCCCCAGTAGCAAAAATCAATCAATCAATAAATCATTCTTTCTTTAATATATTTCTTAGTGTCATTGTCTAGGAAATATTGCCAATAGAGAGACTATATTTTTTTAATTCACTGTGATTCTGCAGTTTTTTTTTTGGGGGGGGGG